AGGAATGCACTGCTCAAAAGAACTAGATCACAGGTGTATTAAGCAAAAAAAAAAGAGAGAGAAGCCAGATCCCACATGGCAACCATGGTTCGAATCCCTAGCTGAGTTAGCTTGAAATATGTCACATTCTTTCTTTCACCGTTAAATATAATGTTAACTGTGAGTTTTTCATGAATGCTCTTTCCCAGGCTAAGGAATTTCCCTTTCGATCATAGCTTTCCAAGTGTTTTTATTGTGAAAGAATGTTGAATTTAAATGTTTTTCCCTTGGGTCAGCCAGCGGCATGGTGGTTAAAGTGGCTGGGAGACCCCAGCCATTCATGGTAGAAGGCAGGAGACTGATGAGGAGCCTGTCACAATTGTCTAGACAAGAGTGAGTAGTGGGCAATGAGGAGGGCATGGAGGGGAACTGCAGGTCTTGGAATGAGATGTTGGAAGCAAAGGCTGATATCAGCTCAGGACTGCCTGGTGTGTGCAGACACCTGGTGGTGAGCACTGGGGATGGGCTGACAGGGAATAGGGGAAGGTGTAAATAAGTCAGGGTGAGGGCTAGAAGGTGGCACAGAGATAAAAAGCAGCACTCTTCCAGGCTGACCCACCCACATGGGAGAGTTCTGGATTTACATCCAGAGACCTCCCTGAGCATGTCAGGCATGTGTGTGCCTATGATGAACTGGCTGATGCCAGGGGTGGATTGAACTGTAGGGACCCTACTCGCTGTCTCTCTTACTCATTTAAGAATAAAAGAAATATAGTTTTTGGAATCTGCAGGTGGCGTGGTGGTTGAGGCGCTTGTGGCTTGTTTATCTCTCTCTAGTCAAATTAAAATAATAAGAGTGATGATCAATAATATTAAATAAACAATTATTTTTAAAAAGAGAAGTGTATTTTTTTTTTTTAGAAAGAATTTTTTGCTATAGGGCATATGTGCTCACTGAAGAGAGAAACAGAGAGACAGCAAGAAATCGTCCTCCAGGGGGGGATGGCCATACCACTATCCCTTTTCCTCCATGATCCTCCCTGGATCTTGGGTACACACACACATACGCCCAGCATAAGTTGCCTGGTCTGGGTCTCAAACTGCGGTCAGCTATGTGGTAGTCCAGGAATGTAACCATTATATCATCTGTTGGTCTCAAGAAATAATACTTTTTTTTTTGAGAGGTTTTTGCTATAGGGCATGTGTGCTCACCAGAAAGAGAAAGAAAGAGAGACAGAAAGTGAGAAATTACCCCTGAGGGGGGATGGCCATGCCGCAATCCTGTCTCCTCCATTCTCCTCTCAGGATCTTGGGCATACATGCACATGTGCCCAGCGTGAATTTAAACCACCAGGACTCGAACTGCCGTTGACTACATGAGAGTCCAGTGACATAGCCATTATGCCATCTGCTTGTCCTGAAATATAATTTTTAAAAGAGTAAGATTATAAAAAAGAAGCAGCAGCAGCAGCAGTCAGAATGGTGCATGCTGTCTCATGGACAAACCCTGAGGGCATCATGGTAAGTGAAAAAAGTCAGAGAGAGAATGACAAGGCCTGTAGGGTTCCGCTCATGTGAAGCACTCAGAGAAGTCAGACTGAATAGAGACAGAAAGTAGGACCATGACAGCCAGGAACTGGAGTCACGAAGTGGAATCAGGAGCTAGTGTTTAATAGGTACAGAGTTTCAGGTACACATGCCTAGCATGAGTTTTAAGCCGCCGGGCCCAGGATTCAAACCACTATCGGGCATGGTGATGCCCACCCTATGGCAAACCGTGGTCAACTAGGTGTGAGCCCCTGACATAACCATTTCACCATCTGCTGGTTTCCTGAATTGTACACTCAAAAAAAGTTGGGACCAGCAGTTAGCATAATGGCTATGTTGCTGAACTCCCATGTAGTTGACCGTGGTTCGAGTCCCAGACCTGGTGGCTTAAACTCATGCCGGGCGTGTATGCATGTGTTCATGCCCAAGATCCCGAGAGGATAATGGAGGAGAAGGGAGTGCGGCATGACCATCCCCCCGGGGGGGGATTTCTCGCTTTCTGTCTCTCTGTCTCTCTCTGTCTTTCTGGAGAGCACACGCACCCTATAGTAAAAAAAAAAAAAAATCCTCTCCCCCCCAAAAAAAAAATTAAGATGGGGGTCCAGCAGTCAGCATAATGGCTATGTTGCTGAACTCCCATGTAGTTGACCGTGGTTCGAGTCCCAGACCTGGTGGCTTAAACTCATGCCGGGCACATGTGCGTGTATACCCAAGATCCGGAGAGGAGAATGGAAGAAAAGGGATTGCAGCATGGCCATCCCCCCTGGGGGGTGATTTCTCACTTTCTATCTCTGTCTCTCTTTGTCTTTCTGGCAAGCGCACGTGCCCTATAGCAAAAACCTCTCAAAAAAAAAAAAAAAGAGGTTAAGATGGGCCAGTAGGTGGCCTTGATTTGAGTGCTGGGGAGACCCCGTGGGTTGAAAATCATGCCAGGCGCGTGCCCAAAATCTCAAGAGGAGAATGGAAGAGAAGGGGTTGTGGTGTGGCCATCCCCTTTGGGGAGTGATTTCTCACTTTCACTATTTCTCTCCAGCAAACACATGAGTTCTATGGCAATAACCTTAAAAAAAAGAAAAAAAGGTTAAGATGATAAATTGTAGGACCAGCAGTTGGCACAATGACTATGTCACTGGACTCCCAGAATAGTCAACTGTGGTTTGAGTCCCAGAAACTCACACTAGGCGCGTGTGCGTGTGTGCCCAAGATCCCGAGAGGAGAATGGAGGAGAAGGGATTGCGGCATGACCATCCCCCCTGGGGGGTGATTTCTCACTTTCTGTCTCTCTCTGTCTTTCTGGCGAGCGCACGCACCCTATAGCAAAAACCTCCCCCCACCAGAAAAAAAAGATGGTAAATTGTATGTTATTTGTATTTTACCACTGTTGAGAAACAAAGGAGGTTAGATGTTGAGTGGAGGTGGCCTGTGGAGCATTTGGGGATGTCCGGGATGCAGGTAGTCACATGGATCC